TTCTTAACAGTTTTCTTAAATACATTTAGTAAAAAATACAATCTTTTCTTAGATCTTTCCCACTTTATATGACATACATACAAAAATGTGCTAGCTAGTGGGTTAAATCCCATTCTGAGAGCAGTAACAGCACACAGACATATCACTGTCAAAAGAATGCTGATTTACATAGTGTGATCAGTAGATCTGCTCTGACAGATTACGTATTTTGTATCTTTATTAACTGTGCATCATTTTTGCATTCTGTTCCAGTTAGCTTGTGACAGATAACTATTTTTTAAAATCACATCTCAAAGCAAAGAAATGTCAATGTGGAAAAATAAATACATTACTCAAGCTTCTTGAAAGTATTGAACTAAATGACACATCGACTTCAACTGGTGAAATCACCATGAGTAGCTTTAAATAGAAATATTTTTAAATAAAAATACCACAAAGCATTAGACATTTTATAAAGTTGAGTTAAATTAGTATTAGCAAAATTATTACTTCTACGTTTTTATTACATACTGAGCTGGATCTGTCTTCCTCTGAAGTCACCAGGAATTTTAACATCAATTTAACTTGAAGATTTAGCCCAGAAAGAGTTATTTTGCCATAAATAAAGGAGAAAATGAAGTCTGAATCTCAGCTTTTCCAGCAAGGCACTGAACTCAGATCCACAGAGATATTGAGATACCGATCTCCCACTGGACAAGAAAAATCAAGGTAAATATATTTAAAGAGCCTGGAACTCATTAGCTCTGATTCATATTGAACTCAAAATTTATTCACCATTTCCCAAGACAGGTGAAAACTAAGTACAGCAGTGTGAGAAAACAGCAATATAAAATCAGTATTATAAAAAAGGATAGCTCAACCTCTGCAATGATGAGGGCTGGATTGATTTTCCAACATTCATTCTGAACAATGGGAACTCACGGCTGCTAACAGCTATGTGCAGCTCGGCGGGTGGTGTTCAGTTTTGGACTTTGTACGCTACTTCGAACAACCATCTCCTCCGAAGCAACAGAGACTGGCTGGCTGGAATCACTCTGTAGGACAGAGCCAGCCAAGGTGCCACCAGCTGAAACACCTTGTTTAGACCACGGGTGACATTCTGATCTGAGTTATACCGAAGTTAATCAGAGGCACAGGGATGTTAATAGGATCAGAATCTAGCTCAGTATCAGTGTAAAGACTGTGGTTGCTCACTGGAGTGTCTCAGATTACTAACAGATTATGCTTCATGTTGCTTTTCCTGAGTCTCAAAGGAAAACTGTAGTATTGCCAGGACAGTTTTCAGTTACTGGCCATTATTTTGAATGTGTGCTATATAGATCTGTGCATGCCAAGGTGACACAGAAATATTATTTAACTGTTTTACCAGGTTTTGGAAAAAATATGCTAGCTGAAATAGGGGATCTTGGTTTTCCCCCTCTCTATTTTTATCCTGTTTTTAAAAATGAGGCTGTGCCAAACAAAAGTTCATTGTCTCTTTCATTCACTTTATGCCTGCATCTGGAATTTGCTTTGATCCCAAGTATAACTTGTTTAAATTATGTAAACATGGCATAACTTATGGTTTTTTCCCCTTCATATATTTTACAAGTCTTCCATTATTTACGTAGGTTTTTAAAGATACACTCTGAAAGGTAATCTTAGCTCCAATTAATTTCCTCAGGTACGGTGTTTATGGAGGTACTAGGAGATTCTGTTCACACAGAAGTTTCTTGCCCACATTCTTATCTCCCACCAAAAAACCACAGAATGAACCATGGGAGGAAATTTTCCTTGAGATCCTCAAATGTTATCCCAATGGAGCCTGAGTTTCAAACTCGATTGCTACAGAATAGGCCTTGTCATGTGTCCAAACCGTGCAGATTTCAAGGAACACTGTGTCTTACAGAATTAAAAAAAAGGCCACAGCAAACTCGTCAAAGGTTTTATGTCTCTCTCTGAGTCTGGTTTCTAGTGGGCCTCATCTCACATTCACTGAAGTTGTATTACAAACATTCCTTGTAGCCAGAGATCTCTGAACCGCCTTTGCTTTAAATGAACTGTGTAACTCTTTATCTACTAAGCACCTTTGTTGATTTGCTTCAGACTTTCTAGAAAAATTCTACCATAAAGGTGTTACGTGATAGGTTACAGGAGGTGAATAACCTTGGTGAACTGAAGGTGCTAGGTTTTGGAGAAAAAAATCTCTTAATACTGGACAAAGCAGAAATCAGCTGTGAATATATCATGCCTCACTAGCTCATCACCTCACTACCATGCCAGTGAAACTTTGTGGATGTTATCATTTTTATATCTGAGTATCTTGGAAAATTAACAAGAAATAAACATAAGTACATCAGATGAAGTCCTATTTCCTAACACTTTCAGAGCTAGATGAAAACCTCACCATGGCTCTGCTACAAGTATTTTTCAAGACCTCAGTGTTTGTGGGACATCCTTAATTCCAAAATTGAGGACGATTCTGTTACTGGCAAATCTCATAGATTCAGCCTTGTATTGCCCTCTGATAATGTCACAGACACTGCTGAAGAGCAGATGCATGCTATGAGAGATGATGAAACGAAAAGAAGCAGCAAAGAAAGTCCAATCTTCCACATGAGTAGTCCATGATCTCAAGACATCGGCATAGCTGGCAGAACACACATCATCCTTAGTGAAACATCTTCTGAGCATTTCAGTCATAGTCAGGCAGAAGTTTCTGCATCCAAAACACATTTTAGGTTGCTAGAATCCAGCTGCAACATAGTTTTGTTACGATATTTAAAGCACCATTCAGAATGTAGACGAGATGGCTGTGCTAAAGAATAGCTCTATCAGTTTCAGTGAAATACATCCAGAAGACAGCAAAGCAGCATTATTTTAAAGCAAAACAAAAATATCTTATACAGACTCTGCAAATCTGTGGAGCTGGGACTGTATTTTCATGTAATTTATTCATTATAACTACTGTGAGTAAAAAGCTACCACTAATATATGACACAATAATCCTGCTACCATTTTGAGGAAGTGCAGAGTAGTCAGAGTTCCTAGTGAAGCAGGTGTGGCAGTGTGGCATCCTGAGCATGGCCTGGGCATCTGTGTCAGCAATGGGTAAGGTAAAATCATTAAAAAACATGGTTTCACTGCAAGCACAGACAGGGACCAAAAATTCAGGAGTCTTGCATAAAAAGGGATCTTCTAACCTGTGTATGTAACTTTTTAATTTTTACCTATTCCAGTCATCACTGCTGGCTTGTCCTTGATGAATATAAAAAAGTCTTGATTTTGAATGTAATCTTCATGAAATAATCTACAAAACCCAAGTAGCTGTGAATAAGAATATGGTATGATTACTTTACATAAATTTGGAGTTCTTTATTGGTACTCACCATCCTCAGTAAATACACCTGGAAAAAGGATACTAAAAAAATTCTTACAACGGAGGTCCAACTGCCTTCAACAAGAGGTCTGTTTTTCACAGGTAGTACTATAAGAATATATAAAGTATAAATCAGCCAAAGATGCAGAATATGTATAGTTAAGTCTTACATCTTTAACTATAGTGATTATGTTGATAATTTGTAAACCTCTACCCAGGTCTAATTTATTCACATTACTTTTTTAATGTAAACAGCAAGAGACACAAGTTACATCAAAGCAGAAAGGAGATGCTGGCAAAACAAGAACTACAAAAAGATGCTGAGGATGGGATTCAGTTACCTGTATATAAGCTTCTAATGCCATCTTAGACAGTCTAAGGATGATCTAGGGATCATCTCTGTTGCCAGCTGCCACTCCAGAATGGCACTACTCTTCTGTAAGTCCTATGCCATATCTGCCAGCCCAGTGTGGCTGTCTCAGAAATCCTAGGAAAATAGTAATTGAAAATAGTAATGGTTGCTTGTATTTAAGTAATGAGACCCACCCTGACAATTTATCTTCAGCGATATGCAAGCTCTGTCCAAGCTAACCCCAGAAAAGGATGCGCTGAGGAGGGAAGAATGGAGACACCCACGGTAGTCCATCTGAACCAGCTCTGGTCCTGAAACAATACAGCCGAAACAAATTGGCGTATCCTCACACGGCCCCGCTGTGTTACATGAGTTAATTGGTTGGGTCTTTGTCAAGTCAAGGATCTTTGCCTGATGTTATGTTACATAGTGTAGAAACTGCAGAGTTTAGGGAAACAGGGAAATTTTGGCTTCCTCTTTGCATTTTGGCTATATGATGAGTGAACAGTCCTCAGATACAGGTGCCTGGAAAGACCAAGAAAGAAATCAATATACATTTGTGGCTAGGAAATCTGTCCCAGTAAAATGAACACTAATCAGCTGTCTTTGCTTCTAGACTATTTTGCTTTTCTTTTAAAATCTCACCTTCCTTAATTCTCTTGTAACTACTAACAGAACAGAGCATGATTTTCCTTTTCTACTTTCCTTTCATAGCCACTTAGGATCTTGTATCTTTGAAAGATGCTGTCCATCAGAGATTGCAATCTGCCTTGTACAATTCTCAGGTACGTTTAAATCTTCTTTTATCCTTCAAAGGTTGGCTGAAAGAAGCGTCAGGTCATTATTTTGGGCTGTAGCTTAATACTTAGGCTTAACAGTGTACGATCTCTCTCCAGTCTTCACCAAAGACCTTCATTCACTGAAGGTCAAGGTATTAGGGTTTTATTTTTAAATATACTCCCAGCAGTGAAGAGTTAAAAATAGACTTCTACGAAAACGTACAGTAATTGGTTAAACCTTGTTAGCCATCACATGAAGATGATAACTCCTCCCAGGAAAAGACATCGCAAAAGCAGCTTTGACATGGATTTATACTTAGAAGAGCAGCTGCAGGCTTACTGGGAAGAAGTTCACAATATAGGCTCTTGGATTATTAGCAGAAAAACCAGCTTGATTCTGGAAAGGAAGGGAAGGAGATACGAGAAACAATTTTCCTCATTGTGATCTGCAAGTGAATTCCATGGATTCTCTACTTTGGAACAACCACCAGTAGACAGAAAGCTTTAAAAGATGGAGCTGGGAAAGGCGAAACTACTGAGAACTGGCCTCAACACTTTATATCAGGCCATCCACCCTGTGCATGGAATTGCCTGGACAGATGGGAAGCAAGTGATACTGACTGCTTTATACTATCATAATGGAGAGCTAAAGTTTGGAGACTCAAGTGTTGTTGGTCAATTTGAACATGTTCATGGGCTTTACTGGGGCCCATGTTGCTCTACAGACACCCCAGCTCTGCTGGCTGTTCAGCATAAAAAGCATGTTAGCATTTGGCAGCTGTGCTGCAGCGCTGCAGAGAAGAACAAACCCTTGATTTCTCAGACTTGTGAAGTTGGTGAGCCATTTCCACTGCTTTCCCAGGGCTGTGTCTGGCATCCAAAGAAGGAGGTCTTGGCTGTGCTTACAAAAAGAGATGCTTCAGTCTTGCATGCTGTTCGTACTGACAATACTAGAGTTAAGGCAGATATCAAAAGCAGCGGGCTTATCCGCTGCGCTTGCTGGACTAAGGATGGTAATCGCTTAGTAGTTGCTATAGGCAGTGCCCTGCATTCCTACATATGGGATGATGCTCAGAAAACTCTAAATACCTGCTCCTTTTGCCCAGTCTTTGATGTGGGAGGTTATATCTGTGCTATAGATGCCACACTGGATTTCCAAATTGCTGTAGCTACCGAGCTTCCTTTAGATAATATCTGTGGTTTGAATGCAGGCACTGCATTTGATACACCATCTGGTACAGAAACTGGTTCTTTAATCTCACAGTCTGCTCTGGTGCTTGGTGATGAGGAATACTCCATGGACCTGCGAAGAAAGTCCACAGATTCAGATAGATCAGGTGTTGATTCAGTTGCTTCTTCTTCATCAGGTCCTGTCGATTTAACCCATATCCTTGCAAACCACCGTCGGTCTGATCCCGATCCTCTTATTACTCTGAAACGCAAACACTCTGCAGCAACAAATGGTCAAGATTCTTCTCACTTGATCTTGGTGACTTTTGAGAGGAAGGTAACCACCACCAGAAAAGTCACCATCCCAGGTATTCTGGTTCCTGATATAATGGCTTTTGACCTTAGAGCTCAGATTGTGGCAGTAGCCTCTAATACTTCTAACATTGTTTTGGTGTATTCAGTAACCTCTTCCTGCATGCCTCATATTCAACAAATCCAGCTGGAAAAAAATGAAAGACCAAAGGGCCTATGCTTTTTGACAGATAAACTCCTGTTGATTCTGATTGGCAAGCAAAAGTTCCCTGAGCCTAATGCCATTCCATCTTCAAGTTCAGACAGGTATGTAATGCGTCTGATGATCAAAGAATTGATGCTGGAAGAAGATTCTTCAGCATTGCCTGAGACTAAGCAGAATATGTTTTATAACTTTGAATCCTCCATTAATATACCTGGAAAAAGAAAGTTCTTTGAAAATCTTGCTACAGAAGACCAAACTCAAAGCAGGGAGCTGTTAATACCAAGAACCACAGTTATTCAATCTCCTAGTGGCAGGAGAAGACTCATTGAAGAAGTAAAGAGCCCTAGTTATGAGCAGAGCTCTTCATCAAGTGTGAGTGACCTGGATGAAAAAAGGCTCCCAGGTGACCCCTCAGTGGCCTTGGAAACATTGGATGCTGAACCTACCAATCGTTCAGTGTCTCTTCTTGGTTTTGGAACACCTACCAGGCTTCCCAGCAGACCAACTTCCCCTAAAGTGCAGTTCAATGTGACCCAAGAAACATCAGGTTCTCCTAAAAACAATTTGTCAAGTGAAAGAGGAATGAGTCACATATCTAGAAATTTAGAGAGACTTTGTGGCAGCTTCAATGAGTTACAACTGAGTCTTTCTGAAATAACGGACCTTGCTAAAAATGGGAGGAGGATATCTTTAGCCTATCCATGTTCACAGGAACCACCTGTTGTTCATATCACTTACCAGGTAACTTATTTTTCAGCTTAAAAATAATGTGATAGGACACTGAATTTTTAACCGATCTTGTATTTATTTAGCTTTAAATCAAAAGGATGCAGTTTAATTCTTATCAACCCATGAGAAATGTAACCTGAGTTTGGCATCAAGTTTAATCTAAAATGTTATTATAATTTGTCATTGAAACAATAACTCAGGATGATGTGGGTAACTTAGACAATACTTCACATGGGAGATTTGTGTCCATTCTTCTTTGATTACGCATAACTCTCTCGGATACTAGCTGATTTTGTGTGCATCTATCAAAGAGAGAGAACAGAGCCAAACAGTTGTTAATGTACAAAAGGTTTGTATGTTGGTTTAGTGTAGAGATGAGCCTATGCGTAGGGTGGTACAGTAGCCCACCAGAAACATAATAAATTCAAACCTGAGCTCAGATCCAAAATTTGAAGATAGCTAGACTCTCATGAAGGCTGATACAAAGTACTGAATCTCAATTTATGGAAAATTCAGATGGGCATGACATGAAGTTGGCTTATTTCTACTTTAATTTCTCACCACTAATCTTCACAGAGCTGGACATACTCAATTTGTAAAACATACTGCCACTTCAAATTTTCTGGGGAAAAAAAAAATCTGTCAATATGTAATTGTCATTCCATTAAATAAATAGACGAATGTCAAATCATCATGTTCCTACCCCACCCTTGTTTTGGCAAAATTCCTACTGGCTTCAATAAGAATTTCAACTAAGGAATGTAGGTTGGGTAATTATTTCTGGCTATTATTCTTAGCATTATTTGCAGTAATACTAACGTTATACTGATAATATTTTTGGTCATGCTGATGCTAGCAGTATTGCTGCTAAAACTGGGGTCCCTTTCAGAATGTACATGCCAATTATAAATGCATTCTTATCTACTGCAACATAAGCAGCATTATGTCAAAGTAATACATCACTTTGTGATGATGCTGAAGTATGTACATCTCAAACAAATTTGACTTCATTTTACTTTAAAGGAATCCATAGAGACATCTGAGTACCCCTCCTTAAACACTCATTAAGGGATTGGTGACTCAATTCAATCATATTCATTAATTTCTAGCAATTGTTTACTTGGCACTTAAGCAGATTCTAGTATGTTAGGTACTCAGGATAAAAGCAAAGCTTTCGATCTGGATTAGTCAATAATTTAACTTGAATACATTACACAAATTCTGGTGAAAAAAGCAACATGTCTATTTTAAATAATTTAGGATTTTATTTGCCAAGAAGCAAGCCCTTCTGTTCTCCAGCATGTTTGAATTAATTCTGATTTCTTAACATAAATCAAGTTATTTATTTAGCAAGCAGCCCTATCTCTTGGATTTGATTGGATTAACCTTTCCCAAAGAAGTTTTGATTGTGACACGTAATATTAATCTAAGATCCGAAGTCACTGTGCACGTTTGCTTGCACAAGCAGTAAGAATTAATTATCCTGCTTTTTTCTTCAGAAGCAAAAAAAAAAAAAAAAAAAAAATTAGGGTTTGAAAAAAACTGCTAGACTACTTGA